AGCTTTAAAAGGTAAATTGAAAATAAAATAGATTTTATATAGTTTCAAAGGATGTTTAAAAGTTAAGTTCTTCAAGCGATCATATATTCCAACTTTGACGCCATTTTTAAAATTTAAACTCCTGTTATTTATAAATTTTCTCTTCGCGTTTATCTTCCTGTTCCTGCTAGTTTTGCTGGTGATGTTACTGTTGGTGGTATTGGTGTTGTTGGTCCTGTTGGTCCTGTTGGTGTTGTTGGTGTTGTTGGTGTTGTTGGTGTTGTTGGTGTTGTTGGTGATGATGTTGTTGTTGTTGTTGTTGTTCTTGGTGCTACTGTTGTTGATCCTGGAGCTGGTTTTGATATAGAATTATACCTATGTCCGATATCAATGCGTTGTACCCGAGACAGTGTATTGATCAAAAAGATAGTCACAATCACAAATAATAATTCAAAATTAATTTTCATTTTTGCGTTGAGTTCTAAGCTGAGTTCTGATAGTTTTCAGTTCTACTGAGTTTCTAATAAAAATTAAAATTCGACTCACCCTTTTATATCACAAAATTGTGGTTGTGCACAATATTTGTTCTATTAATTAGTTAATAGAGTAAATAACATATGGTAAAATTTTTCTTTGATCATTAAAATCATATTATGTTATTTACCTTTACTTTCATTTAATTAAAGAATTTTGCTAATTAGATTAGAAAACTATTTCAATTAAAATAATTTATTTGCATAGGAGTGACATGTTTACTGATATATTTTAATTGAAGCTCAAAAAGATGCGTATATGTTTCGCTAAAGTACGACCCAGAAACAGACGAATAGTCGATGGTATGGAGCCCAGAAGTTGTTAATCGACTTATTAAATCCAGGTAATAGAAGTTACCAACACAAGTAATTAAGATTTCAATTGACTTCACCAGAAAAAAAGTTGTAGGTATACTTTTTCTGAATACTGGACAGACAGTTACTGATAAGTGGAAACCAGTAGACTGAAATCTGCTTAACATAAGTTTCCAAACTATTTTTGATGGGGTTAAAAAAATAGAACTCTAAGACGCAGTGGAAATTTCCCCAAACTATAATATTTTTTTTTCTGTTAAATATATAACGTATTTCTTGACTTCCGTTAAGAAAATTCTATATAAACCTAACACTTCAACAGTTGAAGCTTCAGGCTTAGACAAACCCTTACGCATTTATGTACCTTAGGAAAGCGATTATATAATGATTTATTTCATATATTTCATTTCAATATTTGAAGTATTTTTAATATTTAACATTAAAGGACATTAATGTCGGAAGGGTTTCGAAGAATTGTAAAAAATTGAAGTTCATTTAAATATTTGTTGGGATTTAAAATTCAAAAAAAATTCTCTTGAAATAAAACCTACCATTTTCAACATATCAATTGTAGGTTAATGGAATTAGACGACGATGGAAATATTTTGTGGAGATCCCACAGATGCTCTTGCAGGAGTTAAAGAAACCTTATTTTATTTTATTTATATAAATTAGAACGAGATGAATATGTTTTGTGCACACAGCTTCCATAGTCACGTCACCTTTTCGGAAACGAAATTCCAAAATCAACGCAAATACATCCTACTGCCGATGCTTCACTGACGAGCTTACGGCGGAGCTATTTATTTACGTTTATTACGCAGCACGGACAAGGCATTGTACGCATCCTTTGCGCTAAATCGAGACTGGCGCCAATTAAGAAATTAACAACTCTAAAGTTAGAACTATGTACCGCTCCACTAACAGCACAAATAATAGCTACAACATATTGATAGATACAACATATTTGTCAACAGCCTCTTACTATGCTTTCATGACAAATAGGGTTACAAAAATTCTTGAAATTTCCGACAAAAGACAGTGGCGACATATAAGATCAAAGGATAATCCTGCCGACATACTATCACTTGGTATTGTAGCATCTAAATTAAGTAGCTGTAACTTATATGGTTTTACGATCCTAGGTTCTTGCATGCCCACCAGTCGCTTTGGCCTTTAGCAGGAGTTTTTTTTTGAAATCCATTTATTTTATTGCAATCTGTCAGGTATGAATGAAAATAAGTAATATATATAATTATAACTCGTAATAATAATTATTACGATCTAAAAAAGAAAGACACGTATGGACTATGCCCAGTGACATATCCATATATATTTTTAAAATAACAGTGTGTGATCTACATATACATATCTAAAATATCTCTCGATGTTTTCCTTCTCAGCCTTGTAAAAGTGTTGGAAGGGGACATCAGGTGTATAACCAGCGGGTTTAGGTGCATATATATGCGATGAACGTAATTCTTTAAAATACTGGCTATTTCTTCCTTGATTGTCCGAACATGTAATTGTTTATGCAGCTGTTCATGCTGGATAATTGCCAGGTTTGAGTCTGCTGTAGTACCCCATCATTGGGCCCCATAACTCCATATAGGACTAGCAAGAGTTAAAGCCAAATCATCCTCATTATCAAGTTAGCAAAGTCATTTTATTAAGACGAATTAGAACGAAATGATATTTTCTGTTCCTACAGATATTGAAGAAACTTCATTATAAACTGCATAGATGTAGAGTTCCAAATTTTAAGCTACTTTTTGATAAGTTTTCCAATATAATTCTGCGTATTTTTTAGGTTTTAAATTTATTAAACTATATTGAAAATAGTTTAATTATACAAAAATGTATTAAAATAAATAAAACATTAAATTTTCTTTAATAATTCATAAATATTTATTTATATATATTTTTGTTGTCGTTTAAACATGCTTTGTATGCGTAACTGTATGAGTGTGTATGTGGGGGGTTTGTATTTTTTGTATTTGTGTAATATGGACTACGTATTTGTGTGTTTGTATGTAGTGAGGGGAGATAACGACGAGTAAATAGAGGCAGGGAGGATTTATATAATTTTTGGTTTATATAACAAATTAGCATTCCTAACAACACGAATGCTTTTGTTTAAAAATGTAAACATAAATTACAGAATACAATTTGCAATAATATAATTAATAATATTTTACTTTTGTGTTTTTATATAAAATAAAATAAAATTTTTATTTAAATTATTTTCATATTAAAAAGCTTAAAATATTTTAAATAATTTAACATTTTTTTCTTTGTATTACTTTATCTCATCTTTTCCTTTTCAATCTGCATAGAGAGAAATGATGATCCTTTCAACTTCTATCGCTCGCAGAGCTAAAAAAAACTTTGGTCAACTTTTTAACTTATTTTTCTTTATCCTTTAGTATCCTGTTTAAGCTCGTGTTTTTTTTGGATTAGGTTTTAATTTGCTTTTCGGCTTTTTTAACATTTATATTGTGTGTACATTGCTTACTTATTTAAATAATAATAATAATAATAATAATAAAAATAATTATAAAATACGAGTAACTAAAATTATAAATAATTTATATATTTTTTTTAAAGATATTAAAATAACTTTTTTGTTTATTTTGCTTAAAGACTAAATATTTTATTTGCAGCTTATTGCGATTGTCGGTGTTTGCAGATTCCAGCGCTCACTGTTGCGTTTGGTTTTGCTGTTGCGCGTGTTGTTGTTGCTGCTGCTGCTGTTGGGTCTCATACCGTTGACGCAGGGCGGTTAGTGCACTCAATAAGCGGCTATTGGCGGCATCAAGTGCGGCTATTTGCTGGCCTTGCTCCTCGATGACGCGCTGCTTATGGGAGAGCGCCAGAGACATTTTAAGCTGCTCGCGGCGGAGTTCCTCCTCCATGGTTATTAACCTAAACCAGCAGGGAAAAATTAATTTGTAATTATTTTCTATCCTACATAATTCCAATATGCATTGCTTGCTTACCTGTCAATAATACTGCGCATTGTGGATTCTGATTGTAAGCTCAAATTGTTTACTCCTCCGCCGGTGTGACGGTTCAAAGCAAACAATTCATCGCTGGAGTCACGCAATTCCGCTTCGTCGCGATCAAGCGTGTGTCGCAACGTATCGAGCGTTTCCTGTAGCAATTGAATTTCGCCATTTTGATCATACCCGTTATTACTGTTTGTATTATTCGAATTCAGACGAGGTTGACGACGACGTTTACCTTCGTGTGGTTGACAGTGACCTATAAGAAATTGTAACATATTACATTATTCATAATTTTATTTATATAAACCTTAAGAATGGCAAACAAACAGCATAACAATTTCGGATGGATGAAGATTTCAAGAACAGCCGGGTCTATGCCCTGGAACCACTCACTAACCACGACGACCAAATGCCGTTCAAAACCCCCCAAGCAGATCCCAGCGAGTTACAACAACAGGGTAAGTTGACTATGGCTAAGTATCTTGTCTGTAAAATGGCATAAAATGGCACACATGAAGGGTGACAATTTTAGAAAGAAGAACTATAAGAAGAGTATCTTGTCTATAAAAGGATTTTGAATCATGCAACTTTTTAATCACGAGTTGTTCACTTTACAAGAGAACAGAGTAAACTATATGCAGAACGATGGAATATGTAAACTTTAAGAGGACTTTCAAAATACATATCAATGATCCTTCTCTCATAACTTTGTAATTGCAGGTATATTTTAACATATGTCAGTATTACCTTCCTGTTAGTAATTATGTAGTAATGATTCAATTTAGCGATTATTCGCGGGAAACTTAAAAATAATAAGTGTTTCCTTTGGTTTTAGTCTTACAGGCGATAAATGAAATTTAAATCTAAATACGACCCATCTTCAAACTTATTCTTACTCTTAAACATTCCACTTCCCTCTCGAACTAATGCTACCTATACAAATACTAAACCATGTTTACGTCTTTTTAGAGATCATTGTGACCTACAATAACAGCAATAACAAAAAATCAAAACTTTTCTATATATATACTTTAATACAGATAGCATTGAAAAGCGAACTGAGGGACTTATCCTTGGTTCTGACTCACTAATACTCAGCACCCACCTTTCACAGTTTTACCCATTGGAAATACTCAGACCTGATTTTGCGTATTACCAACAGTTCAATAGTTAGTAAAGCAGTGTACCATAATAATAAGATTGAAAAATCTATATTTACCTTCTGTATCCGTAGAGCTATCCGAAAGCGTGCGAGCAGAGTCTAAACTTAAACGTCGCTGATAACGTCCACTGTGCCCTATACCAAGTCCAGAACTATGATGCATATTGTTACCATACTGCTGTGACTGACCACCATTATAGATAGCAACAGTACCTGGATGTGGGGCATTTGCGGAACTTGTTGTATTTGCCATATAATTACCACTATTGCTGCCATAAATATCTTCGCGCTTGAACTGCGGATTAGTACGTGGTAAGCGCGTTGAAGCGGAGGCAGTTAAATGTTGACCAATAACAATATTGGCACCAGAAGATGAAGAACTACTGCCACCACTAAGTGAACGTTGTGCCTCTATGTGACCATGTGAAGGAGATTTTAATAATTTTGACGCATTGCCTATATGTGGATAGCCGATGTGATAGTTTTCTGTGGATAGGCGTTCTTCAGATGAGGAGGGCGTCAGCGAAGAACTAATAGCGCCACCATTATTTAATAGTGCAGCACGTGCAGCAACAATACCACTGCCTTGTGGTTTTGGCCGATTGCCACCGAACAGTTGCTGATGTGCTGTTTGTCCACTATTAAATCCACTACTATAATTAACACGTTGGTGGTGATGATGATGATGATGGTGGTGTGGTCCACTATTACTGTTCGATTGCAGCTGATAAGAGGGATTCTTAAATGCAAGCGGAGCGGCGTTAGACTTTTGTCCAACTTGATTTTCAACAGGACTTGCAGATTGTGAGGGTGGATTTGTGGATATACTTTGGTAACCAGAGCTGCAATGGCTGCTTTTAGCAGATAATTGCTCCTTGGTTTTGTGATTATTACTATTGCCTGAATTTCCAACTGGTGTTATTTCTCCAACCACTGCGTGCTCTTCAGCATATTTGAATAAATCATCCAAATCTTCTAAATTCATTGGCATATTTGAATTTGGATTTGTTTCACGTGTTGTTGACCTTTGGTATGATTGCAGTTTGTGAGATAGCGGTGAACTAGAGTGATCTGGTATACCCAAGTTCAATTTGCTAGGTGTACGTTCACTGAGTGAAAGACTAACATTTGAGTTATTCAATTTGTGATGACGTTGTTGTGAAATACTAGAGACGCCACCGCTCAACATACTAGAACTTGACTTCAACATGGGCGTTGGAGATTTACGCACAAATGCGCTGTTTGTGTCCAAGCCAGAGATTTGTATGAAATCACCAGGTAATTCATCGTAGTTATTGTTGTTACCGCGTGGTAAAGTGGTGGCACGCAGCATATTTGCTGAAGTCTCACTGTCATTACCATTGTGATTCATGCTACTGACTGCTGACAAATTTCCGTTGGAAGCGGGATAATAATGGGCATTACTACTACCTAAACGGTCAATTGTATTCGTTGCGCTTGCATTGGGCGCTGGTGGACAATGGTGTTGTATAGTTGTTGGTATTAATAAATTGTGACTGCTGCCATTCATCGAAGACGAAGCTATTGAGCTTTGTGACTGCGCGTGTTGTAAATTCGAGTTAATATACTGTGACCCAGCAATGGAGTTTTGAGAATTCGAATGACGTCTATCCATGCCGTTATTTACGAGCTGTTGCTGTTGCTGCTGTTGTTGTTGCTGTTGCAAAATACCATTAACTGTTGGATCATTGTAACGGAAAATATTTTTCTCCAATGAGCTTGGAGTTAACACACCACGCATTATACCACGCTCAGCTGGTATTGGTTTTGTGACAACTGCATGTTGTGGTTGTGCTAACTGCGCTTGATGCTGCATTGGCTGTGTTTGACAATCTTCAGGATTGTGATTTTCTTGGTTTTCATTTTGACTCATGGTCATATGTGGCATGTGTTGCAAGTAGTTGTTACTATCTTTGGCCTTTGTAATTTCGTCTAGTATATGTTGAAGTGGATCAAGCTCATGTTGGCGTGCTTCTGGCAATTTGGTTATACTTTCACTCAGTAAAGTGTGTAAAATTGATAACTGTTTGCCTTGATCTATGTAACCAGCCCAATCGAGTATTGATTCTGGAGTTGTATGCTCCGGACGTGTGGATATTTGTTGTAAAAATTCCTTCATACGTGGCGCTTCTTGCTCCAGAAAGTCATTGAGAAATTCCATGAAAATTTCTTTACCCTGGAAGTGTGTGAAATTTGCAAGCGTTTGCAATGTTTTGGCAACCAATGTGAGGTTACGAGTTGCACGAGAAGAAGGCAATTCTGTAATTGAATTTTTTCAAAATTAGCTTTTAAACTATTATTATAATAATTTTAAAATTACTTACCATTTGTTATGTTAAATAAACTAGGAGAGAGTATAGCGGGACAAAGGAAACGTAAAAATATCGATGCTGATATTAAATTGTCAGCCATATCTTGTCGACCCAATTGATTCAAACGCTCACGGAAGGTAGCAAAACATGAACGCAACTGTGGTGGAAAATGTTTATGGGATTCGTAGATACACTGCCATGCGTTGCGCACAGCAGCACGTAACGATGCCTGTTGACGTTGTAATGAACCAGTTTTCTTTGTCGGATCTACTTCACAATCACAATCCGATTGTATTATCTCATTTATGGGTACGGAGAGTGTATCTTGCAAGTACTGTTCGCCAGTTAATTTTAAAAATGCTTCCATGCTTTTAGTAGCTAATGAATTTCCACGGAAGGTGAGTCGTTGATCACCCACACGTAATAAATCCAAAGCCACAACATCAGTTAAAAATGGACCAGCTAAACCTTGTGCATGCATAAGCAAAACCAAAGCTTGTCCGATATCTTCTTTGGCCTTAACACCAATGACTGGTTCTAGAGTTTCACAAACACGCTTGTAGTTGTCTTTAAGATAAGCCAAGAAATCGGCATAAACATTGATAGGCAGTATATCAGTACTCTGGAAACGACATTTAATACGTAAGGTTGGTATAACTTCTTTAGCATTACGATTGAGACTATCATTTTTCTCACTGAGTATGGGATACCAATCTTCTGAGAATAAACGGGTAGTAACTTCATGTATTGGTATTTTAACTGAACCAACAAACATGTGCTTATCACGCTTCTTTTTCTTTTCAACTTCACGAAAGACATTCACTGTGATAACATTAATGTCTGGTATATCAGGAAAATCAAAATATTCACCCCAAAATAATAGATCTGTTTGCAATTTAACGCTTGTCCGCCCATAAAGCGTCTTATCTAAATGCAATTCACAGAAATATTTTTTCTTTGGTGGCAAATTCTTTGCTTCATACACCCACATCTTCAGTGAGTTGTCTGTGTGCCGTGTATGCTCCGCATTTGGTGCAATCGATTTACGTAGTGAATAAATCCATAGATCACGCTCTTGTCGTGAACCACATGAATAGTAACGCTCACCACGTGGACCACCGCGTACCTGGAAGCAGTGTCGGCGTCCAAGTACTGATTGATGTACTGGCGCAACACCTACAGCGCCGGTACAGGAGAGATCTGTCAATATAAAAATAATATTTATTAATATTGTTGTGAAATAGGTATAATACTAAACTTACCAATGGTAGACATGACGGCATGACTGGAAAGTAAACTCTCATGTGAACGTGAACCACGTAAACCGCCTGAGCCTCTTTTGGTACGTTCCAATTTGGTAACAGATTTTGTACGTTTGAGGGGATTCGATCTGCAAGGTTGTAAGTAAGAGATCATATGTGCATGAGTAAAATAGTATCAAACTCAAGTGTAAATACATAAGAAAATATTGTTGACTATAACTGCAACATTGAAGAT